AGTGTCTCGGATTCAATCATTTGTTGATCTGCTCTGTATCTCAATATCTTTAAAATATAACAAATGATGTAGAAAAAATGCAATAAATATGACAGGTAATAACTAACTGCAATATTTGCAGAAAATATTTATGAGTAGTGAGAATGATACAGTAAAACTTAGCCACCAAGAAACACTACTCCCAATCTCTGTGAAGCCTGCCATTTAAGAACTTGCCTTTTGCCTATACACTGATCTTCACTTCCTCAAAACTAAATGAAATAAAATAAGATAGCATCCACAAATCAAATATATTCCCATTGTAAAAGCATATCTCAAAATCACACACAAAATATATTTTTACATATATATGCAAACATATTTCTTCATCTTTAGAAAGATAAATGATACTTTGCTTAAAAATTATATATATGTATACCTTCATGAACTAATATTTCAGTAACACTAAGAGAATCACAACAGACAGCTTTTTACAAGTTTACTACATGATCCTTACCTTCCACATAAAAAACCTGACAATGGCTAAAATCAAGTGACTGAATTTTTACAAATGATATTATCATAATCATTAAACGAAGTTAAAACTGAAAAGACTGAATAATTTAGCACTAACCAAACTTTAACTAAAGTACAGTAGTTTCAAAACAAAACACGTAATAACTAGTAGAACTCCATCAAAATGAGTTTTCCTTTGAAGAAGACAAAAAAAAAAAAAAGCACTTTGGAAGGTACTCAAATCACCTTATTTCTGCTCTTTTTAATGATTTTTTCACACCAAATTTGTAAAATGTGTTATTTTTGGATCAAGGACCTTTTGAAAGGTTTCAGACGTCTAGACTCTGTGTCTACCTAACTTTATATTTGGAAACGCTACCTTAAAGTATGGTGATTATACATTCCAGCAACTCATCCTTCCTCTTTTATCTTACTTTATAGAGCAACACCACTCAACCAGAATTCCACCAAGCCATCACTGGCCACAGGCCTCTTCCAGAAGCATATGCCATGAACAAATTATTTCCTCTTATGGTGAGGGATTTTCTTTTTTCCTTGCCTTGTTTCCTCATACATTCCCTGTTACTTACATACTCATCGTATACTTTAGCAGAAAATCCACTTAACCAGAGCTAGCAAGGTCTGTAGGGGCACAGTGAATCCAGTGATGCTTTGGTACGATGAACACTTTCGCAGAAGGAATTATCTCAATACAAAAAGTGATGAAAGACAGCTTTCCTAGCTTTTTCTTTTCTCTGTGGATACATTTCAACTTAGCAAGAGATGGAAGATTATTTACTCAGTCAGTCATCTGTATCTTAGTTATTCAGATCCGCAAAAAGTCTTGGAAAAACATTCAGGTGCCTTTCTGCATTCTTATGCCTTTCTGCATAAGATTTGCCTGCTTTAATTACATTCACATTCTAATATGTGCATTTCTCTCATGCATTATGATGCTTTGTGTTCAGTGTTTCCAGAAACATTTAATTTCTAAAAAGGCTTTCTCACACAGAAGAATAAATAAATAAACAACTAAAAAGAAAGGAAAACATAAAAAGAAAACGTATAAGAACAGTTTGTATTATAAGAAATTAATTTCTCTTCAGAATCTGAAACCATTGCTTGAGCCATAAATAGAAGTCTCTTAAGAAGGGAAGAAAAAAAATGTTGACAAAAGCTGTAAGTTTGCTTTTTTCTTTCTCTGTTTTTTCTTTTGAGTACTACATCAGGGTATGTCGTATATATGGCAGGACAAACTCAGATATGAATCTGAAAATTCTCAGACAAGTAAATCTACCAACTACAATAAGCAGTTCACATCTCTTGGTTTGGGCTGAATTCCTATTTCCTTTAAAGAGAAATCTTTGAAACAAGCTTGACCAACCAGTATTCCAATTCTCTTCCAACTAATTAACTAAAACTGTATCCCTAATCTTTAGGTTCATGTTAAAGCAAACCAGCCTTAAACTGTTAACGTTAAAGTTCTTTTGTTAATGAAAGCACTGCATTGGCAGAATGAGACACTAGTAACTGGATGCACTATTGATATGTCCAGCCAGGCGGAAGAAAGACGATATAACCTTTTCGATTTCAAGACACAGTGAACATTCAAGATCATTCTCAGAAAAATTATAAACTTAATTTAGAAAAAATATTTTGCAGTGTAGTATTTAAAAGTATTGTCAACTGGTCATTAAGCTAATTAGTTCCATAAGGAGCAAAAAAACTCTTATTATTGTCTTCAATAAAAATTACTCAAGGGTTTTTGGAGACAGATCTTTAGAAACATACTTCTGGTTTTCTGTATGAAATATTTAACACTGATGCTCAACAGAGATGTTATCTTATGGATATTTGTAACTACCCCTAATGTAATAAAATGTAACTGATACATTCTACTTCACATGACATAATCAACAAATTTCTTGACTTCAGATACATTTATTAAACAGTAAAATAATGGCACTTCATTCATGTAATTTCTAAAAATATAACATTATTGGAGACTATTTCTAACCAATACAAATGGCTTACTGGTGCTCTTAAGCCTCACACTAGGTTAATTCTTAGCTCTTTAAGAGGTCCATAAAATCAACATATACTGAAGATATTACAAAATTTGTACATGCTTTAGATTTCTACAAGAAGTCTAATTTAAAACAGGACGACATTATATATATTTACTGAAAAGCACTGCTAGATGCTTTACTTAAAATCTTATTTTTATTTATTTTTCTAGGACTTTGGCTGCATACCTTCCATTAGTCTACATAAACACATCAAAAGAGTCAGGATTAACTCTAACTACTGCTTTAAATTGTTAAAACCTGAATTTGCTCTCCACTTACTACTAGGTCTCTAAAAAGCGTATCTATAATAGGAATATTATTTTGTATAACATATTAAAGGATTTTTTTTATTACAGGATTACCAAAGTTAATGAAAAACAATTGCAAGTACTGCATGACATCAGTCAAGTAGGAGTAAAATTTTCAGTTCCTCAGAAAAGAAAATTCTAGGATTACCATAAAAAGCCTATTCCCTCTACTAGAGGTGGTAATAACAGTGGCAATAACTCATGCTAAGTGGGTAGGTAGCAGATAATACATAGCACCCTCCTGAAACCAACTGTAGCATCCTCTACACTGAAACTCTTACAAGATACTGACTGCAAACAAAAGAGATAAACACCCTGTAAGTGCCTTACTCGCTGCCTGAGTAGAGGTGATTTAATCAGAGGCTGCTGATTAAGCATTTCCTTAATTGGGTGGGCTATAAATATGATTGACTGCTTTCTTCTCAATCTAGTGGAAAAGTCAATACCTGAGCATACAGGTGCGTGGTGGGTTGTCCTCTGCCAGCATCCCACTCACTTCCCCCAGCCCCAGCAGGGTGAGGGGAGAAAACAGGAAGAACAAAAGCAAGAAAACTTGTGGATCAAGATAAGAACGTTTAATAGATGAAGGAAAGAAGAAAAAAAAAAACAAAAACCACACAACAAAAAACAGCAAAGTGAAGGAGATCACTCACCCCTTCTCACATGTAGACTGACACTCTGCCAGTCTCCAAACAAAGGCCAGATCAGACGCCAAAACCTCTACTCTTCCTCTACCTCAGTTTTTATTGCTGAACATGACATTATACAATATGGCATATCCCTTTGGCCAGCTCAGGTCAGCTGTCTAATACGTGTCTCCTCCTAATTACCTGTCCATCCCCAGCTTACTTGCTGAGGGAACAGAGTAGAAAAAAGAGGAAGCCTTGACACTGTTCAAGCACTGTTCAGCAACAGCCAAAACACTGGTGTGTTATCAAGGTTGGTTTAGCCACAAATCCAAAACACAGCATCATCCAGGCTGCTAAGAAGAAAGTTAACGCTATCCCAGCAGACCCAGTACAAGGTGGAAATTTTCAGTTGAGAACTGATTTGCCAAGTTCTCCTGAAAGGCTGACTGATTTTATTCACACGTTTAAATTTAATTTAAAGCACCTAAGTAGAGACATCCCATCTTGAAAACATTACCCACCGTTCTTTTTAATATGATATACTAAATTCACACAAGAATAAACTGGATTGACAGTTTACTGTTGCACTTTCTTCATTAAAAAGCAGACTTCTGAACTTTTCCTGTCAAAGTCATAAAGATGTTTTTCCAAGAGAAGAGCACTAGCAGAGCAGAATACTGGCAAGGTGTTGAAGGTCGATCGCAAGGTCTGATCCACAAGCCCCTAGATCCAGGAACCTCTTGTATGGGTCTAAATTTACATGCAGGATTTTGTCCTCTGACAGGCAGCTGGCAAACATCATGATTTATGAGACACTGCCCAATATCACACACAGAGCTTCCTTATTGCAGGTGTCATGACTCTGACTCTTGCCAACAACATAAATTATGGTAGCCTGATTGTTTTTTGGAATCAGAATCAGCTTTTGAGAAAACAGCTTTCTAGAAGCTCTGAATCCCAGATTTTCCTTTTCCAAGGAAAGTATATTTTTCACTACTGTTCTTCCAGAACGGAAGTAGGAAATCCATAGTCCAGGTGCAGGTGTGATTTTCAACAATATTGTTCTTTGCCTGGAGCAATGTTACTTTTTTAAACCGATGTATCCACCTTTCTTGCTAGACAGCACAGATATGAGTGTAAATGTGTAGCCAAGAGTTCTTAAAGACCTTTGACAGCAGAGAACTGATTCAATACTTCACTATTCTTTTACTAAATGAATTTTTCCCTAAATAAAGATATCTAAGCATTGGAAATAGCATAAAAGCAGAAGAATTCTGTACCTACATCCTTGTTCAAATTTATCTTTTCTTGCAAATCATCAGTGGTTTTGAGTCTATATTTGACCAAAAAATTTTGAGGGAATATATGCAA